GCTTGATTTCATGCTCAAAAATCACATTCACCATTTTAAATAAATCTGCTTCTATTGAAGGTTTTTGCATGATGTTTAATGTACATAAGGTACAAATTCTTCTCGCTAACAGATAAATGTGTCTAAGCGAATGTAGTATTAGCTTTAAAATCACTGGTTTTAATTTGAATATAAAAGTGGCACAATTGATTTAAACTGAGATTTTTCTTCCATCTGGAATACTTCTATTGGTGTGTTTGGCAGCTTTGCAACGGTTCTGTGCTCATCTTTTAGACCTGTATTAGCCTGGCACAGAGTGCTGAGCTAAAATCAATAAGCCCATAAGGCTGCTGTCACTGTCTCTTATTTACATCCTCTTCAAGAGTTCCTCAACCATTACTCCTCTAGCTTTGCCAACTTATGGTGCATTGGTCTTAATAAAGCAAGGAGTTAACAAATGACAAAAAGGTTTATTGGAGAACAGAGATAATAGGCATCATTTGTAATTGTAATTCTCCCAGCAGTATTAAAAAAAATACAATCAATGAATGTGGACTATTCAGTTTAATCACAAAAGATAGATAATGCACTTTTGCTGAGTGACTCTGCATGCAAAATGTCAAGCCAGTCAAATATTCCTTTTTTGTGACACAGTCTTTCACACCTGTGGGAAGAAATACTTATTGATAATAGAGAGACTTTTAAACATCCTAAAATGACTCAAAATGTACAAATTGAAGCCAGAGCAAGCATTCATTAGTTTATATTCACTACAGTGCATCAGATGAAGATGGAGTTTAATGGTCAGGCCACATGGGGGCCCCAGAGACGCAGAGGTCAGGAATCTCAGCAAATCATTTTACTGTAAAACACTGTCACAATCTTTTCTGTGTTTTTTTGAAGTATTTTAATTGTAACTTTTTAAAATTATTTCCTTTTATTTAATTTTTTTATTAGACTTATAGACTCAATCCACTGAATTTTTTATGTCTTATCTTACAAATTACATGTCTGTGTCATTTTACTTTCAGTCTGTTTATTTGTGTATTTGTCCATCCATAGTCCTGAATAAATTATTAAGCATTTTTTTCCAGTAGTTTAAGATACTTTTATGATCTGTCTTTATTGCTCAGGATTGGAGGAAAGTGCTCATGGTTGTTGCATCCAAGAAGTTGACTATTTTCAACCTTGAATTTTTTATATGACTTCTGGGCATTTTTAAGTTAATTATTCCCATTATAGCATCTGGAATTTCAGTCCCTGTATATTCTTGCAGTGGTCTGACGTGCGATCTCTGGCTCATTACTGAGGAATGTAACAGTATAATTGTTTGTCTTCTGGTTAAACTTTATGAGGCATTTTTAAAAGAGTCGTTTTTACTTACCTCAGGTGAGCTTCTCTCGTAGCAAAAACCTGCAATGCCGTTTTGAAAGCTGTGAGTCAGGAATAGTCATTATAGGCGTCTGGTGAAAGAGCAATGTGTCTCTGAGGAGGTGAGGTGCTGAGATGAGGAGGTGTGAATTGTAAAAAGGTTAAATGGTCTATTTTAGTGTCACAAGGTGTAAATGATATAAGCACTAATGTAAGCAAATGTAAGTTGACGGAAAAAGAAGAGTTGTGCAACACACAGATGAGCAATAGTAATAGTGATGCTTGCATTAGTGAATACCAGTAATTATATATAAATATTAGGGCTGTCAAATGATTAATCGTGATTAATCACATCCAAAATAAAAGTTTTTTTTACATAATATATGTGGGTGCAATGTGTATAATTATTTTATATATATAAATACACACACATGCTTGTATATATTTAAGAAATATTTTGATGTATATACTGTATATAGATTTATATATAATTTATATTATATATAAATATAAATATTTTATATATAAATTATATTTTTTTCTTAAATATACATGCATGTGTGTGTATTTATATATATACAAAATAATTATACACAATGCACCCACATATATTATGTAAAAAAAACTTTTATTTTGGATGCGATTAATCGTGATTAATCATTTGACAGCCCTAATAAATATCCATAAAATTATTTAAGTAAAATTATTATTGCTGCAGTAATATGCACTTTTGACACAGACAACCCCTTTCAAAGACACAGTGAGACTATAGTGTGATTATATCATCAGGGATAACAGGAAACACTTGAGGAGCTGTATGCCTCTTATGGAGAAATCAGTTCTGGCTCATGGAAATCTGAATGTGTTTGAAGAAACTGGGGGCATGAAAGAACACACACACACACACACACACACACACACACACACACACACACACACACACACACACACACACACACACACACACACGCACACACACACACCCTTTTCATGTCGCGACAGTAATGATTCACTCTGCTGATAGTCAGGTATGAGACACTATAATGATGTATCTGTTTGCTTCTGGTAAACTCTTAAGATGTTTTACCTGATACACACTCGTTGTTTGCCCTGGATTATTTAGTAACGGGACACGAGGGTTGAATATGTCAGGTAGGGGTCACCTCACCGCTGTCCACAAATCCTTCGATTTACTCAGCTCCAACTACCTAATTGTTTGCAAAAACCTGGAACAATACAAAAGAATTTAATGCACGATTTTTGCAAAAAAAAATATTTAAAAAGAAAAATGCAACAATGATTACATAAAAAGATAGTTAAGGAGTGCACAAATCAAAAAAAATAATAATAATAATGTAAAAAATAAAAAATAATTTAATGTCAAATTTTTAAATTAGAAATAATTATAAATTATATAAAAATTGTGTAAATGTATACAAATTCATTTGACTTGTGTTTCATGAATACGACTCCTTATAAAGAACTTGTTAGCAGAAACAATGTAAATAGTTTTGGTATAAAGTTCGTGGGTAAAATGAATGGAAAATGGTTTAAAATAAAGCAGTCTCATAGGTCATATATTATTTAAAGAGTTAAATATAGCTTACACTGAGCTATAGCAGTGAATGGAGTCCATAGGGTGGAGCCATGAGGCAGACAAATAGTGTATTATTAGAGGGCTTTTAATTTACCCCATAACACACGCAAATACATATGCAAGCTCACAGGCTGAGGCACACATATCACGTGCAAACCACACATATGCACACACAGAAGCCAATACACAACATCTGCATTATGCAGGTTTGAACGTTTGAAAATGGGCCCATCTGTTTTGTATATAGCATGGTCAAAGGTCATTTAGTAGGAAAGAAATGTAGGTCAAAAGTCAGCCATGGTCAGCCTGGTTTAGTTTTTCTCTGCATGGATATGCATATACGTGTACTTTGCAAAGAATGTCCATTTTGGTGATCCATGAATGAAAAAAAAAAGTTGTTATGATACATATATCTGTTTGCCTCTTCTTAAATAGGTCACTTCTCACTCCAGCCGTCACACAGATATGCTCCGATATGATCACCTTCTTTGTGTTAAAATGATTGATGTATGGTTTGTCCAGATGGCGGAATGGTTTGAAGCCATGTCAGCGGGGGTTTAATCCAGTGATGAAATGTTGTACATTTAAATCTCTTGTGCATATGCAGTTTACCCATAGCTTTTTTATGGATTGTGTGGCAGCCAAATCTGCTCCTGGGACTCCCTGGGTATGAAATCCAAAGGTAAATATCCCGCCTCTGGATGGCTTGATCCGGGCTTTTCTGTGAAATGGAATCACAGGGCGGCGATCTAGTGAAGCGGCGAGAGGCACAGGCTTTTGGGTTAGTAGGTTATCCGTTCAAAAACCTTTATCCAATACCTTCTTTGACCCATAATATATAGTTTGTGTGTTTTTACTAGTAAATTGTTACATTTATTGTTTACGATAAACTGAGATGTATCAGATTAATATGTACTCTCTGAGCACCCTGGGTAAAAACTGCACTGAAAGGAATTATGTGAGACGGTAGAGCAAATCTGAGATGGATGATATTAATTTTTACAAGCTCAGATTTTTATTAGATGTGTGAATTATGTGTGTTCATTAGATTAGTGAATTATGATTACGATGGTAAAAACACATAAATTAAATTAAAAACTATAAAAAATAATAATAATTATAATAATTAATAATTCATCACATTTATATAGCACTTTTCTGGACACCCAAAGCGCTTCACATAGAAGGGGGGGGGGGGGGGGGGGTCTTCCAAATACATTTCAATCAATTATATATATAATTGTTATATAAACAAATTAAATAAAATGATGATATAACATTTTATGTATTTAATTTGATGATACATATATGTGAAATAAATGATTGTTGATTTTAGAATTGTTTTGCAATATGAGAAATCAGATAAGTAATATGTATATTTTAGTTTACTCTACTTATTTTTGGTCTATTTACTACTTTGTTGTAGCAGCAAAAAAAAAAAAAAAGTTTTAATGACAATTGTCTCCAAGAACCTGTGATAGTGCTGAAAGGTCAATAAAACAAAATAAAACTCCTTATACTGTATATTTTACTAGCACAATGAAATGAAAGTTTTTCTGTCATTCTCTCTCTCTCTCTTTTTCACTATTTAGTTGTGCAAACTTTCTTCGAGTGTGTTTGTGCTTGTTTTGACAACAGCAAACAGGATTTTTCCTCCATTTCCAACTCTTTTCAGTACAAAGTAAAGCTTCCAGCATGCCTTGCTTTGATACACACACACACACACTGCAGAGCTCAAGTACTAGCTATGTTAGTATAATCCCGCTTTTCTTTTTGCCGCTTTGTAATTCTCCAGAAATACCCAGGCACGTGTGTGTATATGTGTAATTTTCTACAGCACACACCACAGCAATGGTCTTCTAGCCTGTTAAATTGAAGACAGCAGAGAGAGAGAGAGATTCGCATGAGGATCAGTACACACAGCTGTGACAGCAACAGAAGACCTTTTCTCCTCCCTTTTCATTCTTTTCCTTTTTTATTCCTAAGCATTGAGACTTTTTCTGCCTTTCCAAGCTGAGAGCATCTAGATAAGAGGAAAAAGAAGGTGGAGAGAGAGAGAGAAAGAGAGTTGGAGTTTAGGACTGCAGAATGAGAGAGAGATTGAGACTGTGTGTTGGAATGCGCTGATACATTGGAACAGGCTGCTTTTCTCTGTTTGTCCCCTTGTCAGTCATCCCGAGGCGCACACGCATACACTTCGGAACGCTGGAGGCTCTGTTTGGAAAGGTGGTGATTAACCCCTTCCCCCTCATTCCTCCTCCGTCTCACTCGCCGTCTGGTTGTTTTACCTGCACTCGTCTGGACTCGTTCGGTGAGTAAAGACACAGAAGGACAGGAAGGAAGAGAGATGACAGAGAAGGAGGGAGAGTAATGCCAAGACGGTGCCGTTCATTCTTTGTGGAATACGGTGAAAATCCAGAGAGGATTTGGACACCTGTGGAACACAATTGTGGATATTCTACTTGTGCAGTTTGATTGGGTGACTGAAATGGAATATCATGTGAGTGACTGATGAACTGACTTAATTGAGTGCACTCGAGTTGAACCAGCATTTCTACAGTATGTCTAAACCTTCACGACTTGCTCGCCCATCCTCGGCGGGTCCCGGCTCCAAACTCCCCTCGGCCCGTCGGGATACACCTGCCGGCAGACCCAAAATGCTCGGCATAGGGGAGAAGGTGATGCGGACAGGAAGTGAGGGCAATATTGCCAGCCAAAGGCCTCCGGTCAATGGGACAACACAGTCGCATATCCCGCAAAACACTAAAATAAAGGAAGAGGACGAGGTGGCCCAACCAAGAAGCAAAATCAATCCACCTAAAGGGTCCATGGCAAGCATAACCCAGCAACAAGTCACACAGCCCAGTAAGTATCAGATCATCAAAGGTGGATACCCACATAGTACTTTTACATTTATGCATTTAGCAGATACTTTTATCCAAAGCGACTTACAAAAAAGGAATAAAATCAATTCATCAAGAGCCAACAATATTCGTAATATATGCCAGATTTATCAGACAACTAGATTACAATGTACTGGGCTTCTCATATTTGACCGCTGACGTTTGGATTCTTTGGTCACTGTTGATCGCATATCTCCTGTTTTCATTATTTTAAAGAATCGATTCCCAGAACAAATAGTTTTTGGGCAGATGTTGCTTTTTTTATGGCTCAGGGCTCGTTAAAAATGTTCTCAGGTGTGTCACATCAACTTTGCAGCAGATGTTTCTCCCAAAATTCTTTGAGAATTGGAAATAGAACCACATGACACAATTGTTGACACAAAGAACTTTTCATTTAATGACTAATGTCTGTGTTCATACTAAAATATCAACCTTTATATTGCAGTCTTTCGGTATCTTGGTAGATATGAGCACAGTTGAAGGCATTGTTGAGATCTCTGAAACTCTAGAGGAGACAACTGTGAGATTTGCTAGTATCTTTTTCCACAGAAGACAAACCAGAGCCACAAGACTTAAGCAAAAATCTCCATTTGCTTTTCTTGTAATCTCATTGCTGGAGAAAACCATGAGATAGTAAGAAAAATGTCTCATTCATGTAATTTTTTCTTCCTACTCAAGATTTTAGACCTTCCAGATGTGATCAGTTATATATTTGTGATATTAGTCATAAGTTGAATAGTCTTAATATTGTGTAGATATTAAGTTTTAATTGTTGACTAAACATTTACATTTTTAATCAAGTGCATGTCTAAGATATTATTATATTTGTTGTGAGATGTTGAAGTATCTGTGTTGAGTAAAAATGGAACGTACTGTTTTGTTTGCAGAGTTTAAGTGCTTTCGGGCGTTTTACGCAGATTTGCATTATTGGTTTGAAGTGTCTAAATGTAAGTAAATTGCATTGATGGTATTAAGCTAAAAGTGTTTGGTGCAGGTTTTATATTTATTTATATATATATATGTGTTTTGTGGTATTAGATCAGCAGTAGGTTGGATTCTTGTGGATTTTTGCTGCATTCCTCACAAAAAAAACACAAAAAAAACACACATGGGCACAGCATTATATTGCCTCCCCATTCCAGCACAGTGGGGTGCAGATTAATGCCAGTTTGTGTGTGTGCATGTGTTTGTGAGTGTGATTAGGCACCTCTGTATTGCATTCCGCCCCAGTGGGTTTTAATCCTGCTGGTCGTGGTTGAAGAGCTCCATGTCAACTCAGACTTGCTCTAAAATGGTGATATAAGGCTCAAATCCTGTCACCTCTGTGGCCTTCTGATGCCTGTCAATCACAGCCCTTGATGTGTAGCGATTAAACAATGTGTCATGTCCTCTCAGTGAAATTGCAAGAATGCACCCCTGGGGTGGGGATTTAGACTGTGATGATATTAAGGACTGAAAGTTCTTGAGGTTAACATCCCTCTTTTAGTTATTCATGCTGATGAGCACACACACGCACGCACAAATAAGAGTGACGCATAAGAGTTCGTCAATCTTATTTGTCATTCATTTGTTTGATCGCTGAGAAGTGATGTGTGATGTCAGTCAGAATCTCAGTAAAACCTGGTTTTTGACATTTTTAAGCAATACATGTGTTTGCCTCCATCCTTTCCGTCTAATTTGGCAGTAAAAGGCAGTAGAATCCAGATGTTACCATGAACATTGGTCCTCCATAGATGTAGCGGCTTAGAAGAGGCATAGACATATGTTTGAAACCATTTTCAAGGTAAATCCTTTACACTCATCTGACATTTTACACAGTTTGTGCCATTGATGGATGGATGATGACTACAGACAACAGAGCAAAAGACAACAAAAAGAACAAAAATTATAATTCATACACAATTTTTTCCATAGTTCTTCTTATGATTAATGCTCTGTGATTTTAATAATCTTTAAAAATAAAATGTTTTCTGAAGTCATACAATAGTTTGTGAAAAGAGTGGAAAGAGTCGTTACTCATTTAAAATCGTGCATACTCAGTCTCAAATATTGCTTGTTTGGCCTATATTAATTGTTAGCGTCAGGTGCACATGTTGAATTTAAAGTTCAAGTGTTCATTTAGTATTATTATATACTATACTATTATTTTTGGGGGGTTTTAATATGACATTAAAGGTGTAAAAAGATCTGTAAACAATTAGATTTTATTTTTATATTTTCAGTTTTTGTTTTAGATAATGTTTTATTAATTTGTGCTTTTGTCATTTTTTTATTACTAAAACTGATTTTATTTCAGTTAGTTGCCAAGTATTGCTAAATTTAATTTATATAATTTATTTTATTTCAACTTTATTTCAATTAAAGGGGCTATATCTAAGAATTTTCAGTAACGCTTCCTTTTACAGTACAGTACTTACGTGTACTTACAGTGTACTTACCTAGAAAGTACTGGCTAATATAAGGTAAGTACATGGGTTAGGGGTAGGTTCAGGGTTAGTACTAAAGTAATAAATATACTTTATAATCAAACTATCATAACAGTATCATTTTAATTACCTCATCTGTTGCTGCCAGTGTCGCTAATAACAAGGGTTTCTGAATTCTTCATATAGCCCATTTAAGGAAAATTATTTGTAATAGTTTTAGTTTTAATTAACAATAACAACAAATGACAGAAATGTGTTTTTGGGGAAACTGTCTCTCAGATCTTCCCAATGGTAAACATTGTGAAAGTTAGCTTTCTTTAGATTTTTACTTTAAATGGACAATATAAAAGTTAATGTTTTCTAGACTTAGAGTTCAAGCACAGGTCATAACATGGATGAATGGCTCTCAAAAAGGAATGAATGGTTACATTTCCCAACTGGAGAGATAATGTGTGTGCCTCTTTTTGTAATTAGAATTTCATTTTCTAAATAAACATAATGCAGATTTTAGTATTGAATCTTATAAATCAGACTGCCAGTGAAGAGTTAGTTGCCCTGAAGAGTGGAATTACCTGTTTGTAATGACACTATTTTTAAACACAAAACTTTTCATTTGTGCTTTAAAGAAAAGTATATTATAATCACCTGTGATCTGATACCAATGTTTTCTACCTAAACATGCCCTCAAAGAAACATGTGGAAGGAAATCAAATACATTCTCTTTTTTCTTTGCCCCGTTTTATGTCTGACAGATAGAGTGATAAAGGAGAGTTGTGTTTATCAGCAGTCGGCTTTCTTAAAGGGGTTTTGTTTATCTGCAGGTAAAATGGTTCAGTCTTTTGTTTAAACTACTGTTAGCGCTCTTTGAAAGTTTATCACAAGCAGGTGTAGCGGGACAAAGAACTGTATCACAGTCAGTAAATTTCACGGCTGGGTGGTCTTGCTTACTCATGGTTCAGCCAGACAGAGGTTATGGGAAAGAAAGAGGGCAGAGAGGGAGGGAGAGACAGTCCCCCTCATCACAAGTTTATTTTAAGCTGGCTGGATCTGTACTCAGGCTTTTATGTTTAATTTTTCTGCATGCTTAGACTATAAGTGGTCGCCTGGATTGATGTGTTTAACATATCAGTCTGAAATCTGCTGATGTAAGAAGCATAACATTTCACTGGGGGTTTATGGGATAGCCAGTGTAGTACACCAAAATAATGCAGTTTCACATTTTAATTTACCCTTTTTACATTGTGGGACTCAAATCAATAGAAAATGAATATGTTCGGTCATATGTTTAGTCATTTTCTTTTCATTTAAAGTCCCCCTGTAGTCAATAATTTCATCCTTTAAAATTCATCTTTGATCACCAAAATGACATATTTAAACGTTTTTTTCCTTAAAAAAAATTCTTCATGCCTTAAAATAGCTTGAATGTAACTCTAAACCCTTGCCTCATTTAGTATACGCTGTTCTATGAAAATGCAAATTAGCCCCGCCTCCACTCACTCACACCAGCTCAGAGATCCACTCGTTGATGATCACACCTTGATGTGATTGGTTGTGATGTCAGTAACAGCAGCGATTTCAAAACGCGTTTTTGACTATCTTTAGATTACTAGCAATACTCAGCAATGCTGTTGACATGAATTTGTTTGTCTTAAAGCATATTAAAAATACCACATAGACATAAACAACATTAAAAGCTTGATTTTCACCACAAGGGGACTTTAAAGAGGCCATATTATGCCCTTTTGTAAAGTCTTGATTTAGTTTTTGGGATCTACTTGAATAGGTTGTCATGCTTTCATGCAAAAACACCTTATTTTTCACACTTTACATTGTTGAAGCACCTCTTTCCCCCGTCTGTCAGTAGCGCTCTGTTTAGTTCTTGTCTGAAGCCCTGAATTCCAAAAAGCGCAATGTGCTCTGATTGGTCGGCTGGACCAGTGTGCTGCGATTGGTCAACCGCTTTAAACGTGTTTAAGAAATGCCATGGCCTTTACCATAACTGCGAGTATCAATTCACTGGCTGCGTCCAAAAACTTCGGACAGACTTCTGAGGCAGCGTAACGGTTTAATGATCTACAACAAAATAGAGAGAGCTTTGGTGATAACTAAGGGAATATATAATTAGTATATTAGTAATTTCTCACTACAAATTACATCAAAAGTGGAAACCGTTGGTCAAAAACATACATTTACGCACAAACTGACCACCAACCACAACTTTCAGATGTCATCTTTAGTTTTTAGCTCAACTGTCACAGAATGGAACGCACAGGATTGTGGGATATCAAAGGCAGCGAATCGGATGAAGGCATCTCAGGAGACAGGAAGTGAAGCTAACATTGGATTTGGACGTGCCTTGGTGCTTTCCTACCTTGGAATGAATCCTCCGAAGGTAGCGTTTTTAAGATTGCGGACGTCACTGCTAACGTAACTCATCCAGGCCTCGCCCCTTTTTTTTCACATGCCTTGGGCAGGAATTATTTTAATTGAGAAATATTGTGATGTGTAGATTCCTGGAAGAAAACTCAAAGCTGTC